TCCCCATGAGCACAGTTCAGTATTCTGGAATTCCCAATCTTTGCAATGTTATCCATAATTTGTTATGATCTACACAGTCGAATGCCTTTGCATAGTCAATAAAGCACAAGTAAACATCTTTCTGATGTTCTTTGCTTTCAGCCAAGATCCATCTGACGTCAACAAATGATATCCCACATTCCACATCCTTTTCTGAATCCAAGTTGAATTTCTGACAGCGCCCTGTTCATGTACTGCTGCAATTGTTTTTGAATTTTCTTGAGCAAAATTTTACTTGTATGTGATATTCAATGCATTCCACGTTCCATTGGGTCACCTTTCTTTGGAATGGGCACAAATATGGATCTCTTCCAGTCGGTTGGCCAGGTAGCTGACTGCAAGAGCTTGTTGCAACGTTTCAATTTGTATTCTCTCCATTCCTGGGGCCATGGTTTTTGGCCAATGCCTTCAGTACAGCTTGGACTTCTTCCTTCTGTACCGTCAACGTCCTTGATTATATGGTACTTCTTGAAATGACTATCAATCAATTCCTTTTGGTACAGTGACTGTATGTTCCTGCCACTCTTCCTCTAGGTTTCTGCCACCTCCATAGTTAAAGCAAACTCAAAACCCCTGCTGTGTACTTAGACTCATAGTGACTCTATAAGGAGCTCTGATAGCATAGTGGTTACGAAGCGGGCTGCGAACCGCAAGGTCAGCAGTTCGAAACTACCATCCGTTCCACAGGAGAAAGATGAGGCGTTCTGCTCCCGTGAAGATTTATACCCTTGGAAACCCTGTACAGGGTGCTATGAGTTGGAACCAACTCCACAGCATAGCACCACCAACCACCACCACCAGTGACTCTATAGAACAGACTCGAACTGGCCCACAGGGTTTCCAAGATGACATGAAGAAGAAGACTGAGACATCAGGATTGGAGGAAGACTCATTAACCACCTGTGATATGCAGACTTTGCTTGCTGGAAAGGAAGAGGACCTGAAACACTGATGAACACCAAAGACCACAGCCTTCAATATGGTTGAACCTCAATGTAAAGAAAATGAAAAGCCTCACTATTGGACCAATAAATAACATCAAGAGAAATGGAGACAAGCTTGAAGTTGTCAAAGGCTTCATTTTCCTTGGATCCACAGTTGATGCTCATGTAAGCAGCAGTCAAGAAATCAAAGGATGTATTATCGTTGTTGTGAAGGGCCGTCGAGTCGGGTCCAACCCATAGTGACCCTGCGGAGGGTTTTCAAGGAGCAACTGGTGAGCTTGAATCACCAACCTTACAGTTCAAACCGACTTTGCTGTCTAGCACATCAACCCACAGCACCACACCAGACTGTATGGCATTAGGTAAATCTGCACAAGACCTCTTTAAAGTGTTCAAGAGCAAAGATGTCGCTTTGAGGACTAAGGTGCGCCTAACCGAAGCCATGGTATTTTCAATAACTTCATATGCATGCGAAAGCTGGACAGTGAATAAGGAAGATCATTGAAGAATTGATGCCTTTGAGTTATGGTGTCGGAGGAGACTATCGAAAGAACCCTGGAGTGCTGGAAAAGCAAACAAGTCTGTCTGTCTTGGAAGAACTACAACCAAAATGCTCCTCAGAAATGATGATGCCGAGACTTCAGACATGGAAAAGGTCATCATGCTTGGTAACGTACAGGGCCAGCAAAATAGAGGAAGACTCCTAACGAGCTGAATCGACATAGTGGTAGCAACAATGGCTCATCCAAACTTGTGGATAGTACCCGTCTGACCTAGCTTCAATGGCTTGATGACCAGAGCTAGACTAGAGGAAGACAAAGAAATTTTATAACAGAACTAAGTGTAAATTGCTACAATTTGCTGAACTTGACCTATACTACTCAGATGTAGTAGCTCAAAATACCAACCAGGAGGGAAGGGGTCTTCACATCAAAGATCAATCCTATCCCCTCTGTACACAGGGTTGATAGAGACGGGCAACTTAGACATTAGTTACCTAAAATGGGGCAACTATATAAAGCCACAAAGTGACTGGCTTACAAGTTTTCAAGAGGGAATTTAGTTTCAGAGTGTGCAGGGGAAGATAGAATCCCCACTGAATGGTTTTCATCTTGTCGAGATGGATCTGGTGAAAGGAGATGGGGATAAGATTCTTATGATTCAATAGTGAGTAATTGTTATCATGACTAATTGTGATTGTCACAACTGTAAAGGTAGAAGTTTTGCAACATAAAGGGGGGAGCAGTTAATTCAACATCCCAGGAACAGAGGAGCCCAGGACTATCAAGGGAGAAGAGCATGAGCGGAATTTGGGAACCTATCCAGAGAAGCAATTACACCAGAGATGATGACATGGAGAAACTGAGCAGCTGAGGACTTTAGACTCATGAAAAGAGAAAGGCTGTGTTCTAGCGGCCAGGAGATGGTCTTCTTGGATTGTTAAAACAATTATATATTCCTGAGGGTTTTTGTGTACATTAGAACAAAATACAGAGGGAATAGAAGCAAATATTGTTGAAAGATGATGCATGGAGGAGATTGTAATTGTTGCAAAGAAACTACGATAGGACAAGTGCAAAACTGATGTTCTGCCATGTAAACTATCTCTCAATTCACAATAAAAAGCTTAAAAATAAACTACAATAAAAAGCAATGGGCTCAAACATAACACTTGTGAGGATGGCACAGGAACCTACTTGAAGGCACCTAACAACAATATGGCGTCCTGTGAGCTAATGCACTGGACTATAATGTCGGTTTGAACCGCAAGGTTGGCAGTTCAAGCTCACTAGCCATTCCTGAGAAACTCTACACAGAGTCGCTATCTGTCGGAATTGACTTGACGGCACGTAACAACAATATGGCAGAAATCTAGATAATAGTTTTTTATCATAAATCTCTTCCCAACTTTATGAATCAGAGGTATCAGATTGGTAGCTTAAAATCAACCACGATGGAAATATCTACACCATGAGAATCAGCACACACTACAAATCAGGACAGGATTTCTTAGTGTTGTGTTGGCAGTCTCCATTTATGAAAACAAGGACGGAAAGGGTAATAATTCAGATCAAAATGGTGTATGTCCTGTCTTCAGCCATTGCATTCTAAACAGCGAAAATAAGGAGATTCAACTGAAGAAATTCCAGTATTCCAAAACTCTTATCCAGTTCAGTCAAGGAGTCCCTCACTTCATTGAAGAACTAGTGACATTTCAACATTGGTCTTCATTTCATTTTACTCATCAACATAAAAGAATAGACCACCCAGCATTGGTTCGTCAGTTGCAGTAAGGATGTGCACAGAGCTGATTCCAGCAAAAGTTAGTGGAAGCATTTGTTGAGACTCAGTGGGCTCTACGGAATTTATTGGTATTGTTGTGAAATGCCGTCGAGTCAGTTCCGACCCATAGTGACCTTGGATAGGGTTTCCGAGGAACAGCTGGTGAACTTGAAGCACCGATCTTGCACCTCAAACGTATTTGCAGTCTGGTGCATTAACCCACAGTGCCAGACGTCTATATTATGTATTTTATTACCAATTTGGATGGAATGCATATTTTATTATTTATAAATTGTACACTCTCATCTTTTATATCAGTGAAATCGACAATAAGCTTATGCATGTGTGTGTATGTATGTATACACATATACATGTATGTACACATATCTTCTCCTGCAAAGCTGCTTGTTAACATTCCTCAGAACACACTGCTTTGGAGGCTGCAGTGGGACAGGCCCCAGCCTGTCTGTGAATTGTGGAAGCCAAGCTACTCGACCTGGCCACCCCGAGGCCAACGGAGCCCAGAGTAGGGAGGAAAGGCCCCAGTGAAGCTGTGGAGACCATCCACCTGTCTGTCTGAGGCTGGGCAAAGGACCTACATCGGGCTGGTTGTCAGACCAGGATTTCAGAAGTCTCAGCTGCTGGCCCAGACTCCCCTTTCTTGAGTCTGGCCAGCCAGATGAAGGGGACCCAGCAGGAGCGGACAGAATGGCCCTGGCACTCTCCATCCCTGCAGTGTCTCACGCTTTTTCTGCTCAGCCAGCTCTGGAGGGCTGGGTGCTGTCCCGGGGCTCAACACTCCAGTAGCCCCCCCTTGGGAAGTTAGGAAAGGACCACGTGTGAGGAGCATCATCCTCTGACCACCCGGCACATCGCAACTGTTGTCGTCATCCTGACCTACTTAAGTGTTCCCTGAACGGGCCTGGCTGGTTCAGGCTTTGCCAAGAGTCACTCCGCAGGCGTGGCCGCCCCACCTCCGCCACCCCCTCCTTCCCCGGCCTGCCTCCCACGAGTCTGGCAGCACTTCAGGGTGGGGCGCCAGGGGTGGGTCCCAACTCCCAAAGGTCCTGCTAGGCTGTCTGGCAAGGAGCTGCCACCTCCCAGGGCTGAAGCAGAAGGATGGATGCCCACCTGGCTCTGCCTGCCCGCCTGTCTTTGGAGAGACCTTTGGGGCCAATGAACTGGGGCAGCTCCCTCTTTCATCTCTCTCCTGGTCACATACCTGGGCCCACCTCATGGAGGTTGGGATGGAGAGGAGGCACCAGTGGAGGTCTGCCATGTGGGTGGCTTAGTCCTAGGGCTGCCCAGGCCCTGGTCCCCAACCCCTCCACACACACATACACACACATACACACACACATACACACACACACACACACACATCCCACCTCCTTCACGCTGAGCTAACTGCAGAGATCAAATGAGGGAAGAACTGGGCATGGACAATTGAAGCGAGAGTCCGTTGTAATGTTTATTGAAATAGGGCTGGAGCCCCCAAGCCAGCCAGGGGAGCAAGCATGGGAAGAAGGTTCTAGGGCCAGGGAAAGCCTGGGATGCCCAGTCAAAGACCCAGGTGAGGGGCTCCACTGCCAAGTGGGCAGGGACCCACTTGGTGTCACCCACCCAGCGAGTCAATGTTTAGGCCAGCTGGAGTCTCTCAGGGCTCGCCAGCTGGTCCAGGCCTCAGAGCCCCGTTGAATGGGGAGCAAGCGCCCATGTTCCAGGGTGGGCGGCTCAGGCCTTGGGGCTTGGGGCCTCCGGGGTATACATGGGCTCAATGTTGACCCAGCTGAGAGCCTGCTGGTCAGCCCAGGCCAGTAGCTCGGCCGCTCGGTGCATGAAGACCATGAGGAGTGTGTGCACGTCGCCCTCGGCTGAGTGGGCAGCACTCGGCTCAGCATGGAAGTAGCGGTGGAAGAGACTGCCCAGGCTATAGCTCTTCCGGCCCTGGGCCCGGGTGCCATGGCTGTGGGTGCGGTCCAGGCCCCGGAGCGCGGGCAGTGTGTCCAGGCAGATGGTATCCGGCGGCAGCTGGGCGCCCAGGCGCTGAAGCTCTGTGCACAGTAGAGGGAAGTCGTAATCGAAGCCGTTGTGGGCCACAAGGCAGAGGGGACCCTCCTGGCGACTCAGAAAGGCCTGCAGTGTCTTCACCACCGCATCATCGAAGCCGGCCTTCCGGCACTGGGCAAGGCCCTCACTGCTTAGACCTGTGATCTCGCTGGCCTTAGCAGTGAAGGGGCGCTCCGGGCTCATGCACAGGGTGAGCTTGTCTAGGACGCGGGGCAGCACCGGGGTGCCCGCCGCATTCCGCTCCAGGTTCTCCAGGGAGGAGCGATGGACGGCGAACAGGGACAGCTCGGCGATCTCTGGGTCCACATTCGGAAGACCGGTGGCTTCCAGGTCCATGAAGACAAAGGTCAGTGCTCGAGTCGCCTCAGACATGGCAGCGTGCTCACGGGGACAGGGAGGCCTCAAGCTGCGGGGAAAGGAAGACACCAAACCCAAGGGCTAAAGAGGTGGGGACCACCAAAGCTCCGGCCTTGAGCCCCACCGCCCCAGCCCCTACCGCTGAAACAATGGGCTAGTACCACCGGATCTTGTGTACCTTTGGGGCAGGGAGTGCCCTTCCATCAGTCCAAGATAGGGCCTCTCGGGGTCTTCACCGCCTCCACTGTCCCTGGGGACCCTCACCAACAGCAAAAGGTGCACCTACCTTACCCAGACTCAGGTAGGGGAAGGTGAGCCAGGCCCATGCCCTCAGTCAGGGCCCCGCACTGGTGCCACCCAGGGACTGGTTCCTTGGGGCCCAACCCTTTAGCCAAGAGGCTTGGTTGGGAGCCTCAGGCATGGACCCTGATTCTCCCTGGCTAGGGTCTAGGGCCCAAGGAAGGTAGGCTACGGGGAAGGACTCAGGCCCTCCTTGCCGGTTTCCAGGCCCACGGGAGCTGCCTCAGGGCTCAGGTCTGTCCTCACTTACCTGGGGTGGGCGCCGGTCGGCTTCCTGGCTGCTCAGCACCTGTCTCCTGCAGGCCGCTCCAGGCGGCCTTTAATCAGTGGCCACGGCCCGCCCCCAGCTGCCTGTTGGGCAACGACAGAGCCGAGGCCGCAGGACCAGTGTGGCCGGCTCACCGCCCCCTCGTTAGCTTGCTCACAGCCACTGAGACACACACGCCCCGTGTTTACAAAGCAGGAACTGGCTCCCAGGCCACACGGGCTCCCAACGCATGCCGCATGCCACCGTGGGTGCAGGAACGTGTGGTCACAGGCAGAGGAGGAAGCACGAGCCACCAGGAAACCCCACCTACTGTCACAGGCCATCAGGCTGCCCCCCCCCCCCATGAAGATGAAGTAGGATCAGGATTGAGAGGGAGGGAGGAGTCTAGTGTCACCCAGTGACTGCAGGTGGCCTGGTGCAGCTCACCCACCTTGAGGGCTCATCTTCCACCAGGACAGGTATCTAACAAGCCATTAGAAGAGGCTTCTGAGGAAGTGGGGACAGGAAGGACGGAGCTGAGCAGGTTCTTCCTGGCGCTGGATAGTCAAGATGCGGGCCTGTGTTCCTTCCCACCAAGCTGATACCCAATAGTCCCATCCAGCCATGCATCACTCCCCAAGTGGTCTTCAGGGAGCTTGGGCAGGTGGCTGGGAACAGGGGGCTCCCAGCCAGGCCCTTCCCAGTAGCCTAACGCTGCCAGCACACCTGACCATTTGGGAACACCTGTCCTCCTTCCCGCCTCATGGGACACCAGGTGTGTGTGGGGGGGTGTCAAGGTGGTGGGGACCTCCTGTTTGGAGGGTCCACCAAGGGACTTTGGGGACACAAAAGTGGCAGGTGCTAGAAGCAGGGCTGCAAACAGGGGAGAGGGGGTTGAGGGTCTGGAAGATAAGCCCTCCCCCATCCCTTTCAAGGAAGCCCTGGGAGGCAGGAGAGCCACCAGTTGTGCCTGTTTCTGTGCTCAGAGGGAGGGAGGTGGCCATGACAGGGACACTGCTCAGGGAGATACTGGGTCACCTGGGAAGTTCAGAGGAGGTTCCTGGACAACCAGTCAGGTGATGGCCAAGAATTTCCCGCCTGCTGCGGTACCCTGGGGAGCAAGGAGGAAGCAGTCCTGCCCTGGGAGCCACACCTTAGTCAGCTTGGCACTAGGGAGGCCTGCTGGGAGGGAGGAGACAGATGCCTGAGGGTTCCCACCAGGCAAGGCTAGGCCTGGGGACAGCTGGGAAGCAATGGAGGACTTGGCAGCAGGCGGCCAGTAGAGGGAGAAGTTCAAGGGTGGCGGAAGCAAACAAAATTACACGGAGGCAACATCTGAGATTCTAAACTTTATTTTCTCTGCCCCTCTTGGCCCCCCCACTTCACCCCATGGGTGTCTTCCACAGGACAGAGGATGGGGTGGCAATCGCTCCAGCTCCAGGACTGCCCACTACTTGGGGCCTTTTTGCAGAGTCTCCTTGAACACTTTGTATTTCTGTGTGACTTCTTGCATTTTGGAAGCTGCAGAGAAAACCAAAAATCAAACAGCTGTGGGAGGCCCAAGTCTGCCGCTCCGCCCCCACCCCGGACGTTCTCTTCCAGCTCCTTGCCAGATCTGACGGAGCCAGGGGGCTACATAGGGGTGGGAGGCCTGAGCAAGGGTCCAGGGAAGTCAGCCCGCACAAGGTGAGGCACAGAACTTGCTTGGACTTAGCTGGTTTATTCAATTCTAACCAAACTAATCGCTGTGTTCAGGAAGAAGCAGGTGAGGTTTGGGACAATTACTCCCCTCAGACCTGCCCTCCTACCTCTGTTCTTCCCATCATTCATCTCTGCAAGTTCTGTGATGCCCACTACCGTAGAGCCTGCACTCAGTGGCAAACGGGAGTCTGGGGGGCTGCCACCACCCTGGAGAAAGCCAGTTCTACCCTCTCTGACTCCAACACTCCAGCCCCACCCAGGGGCCAAATCCAAGTGAAGACAGAAGGTGGGAGAGAGGGAGGGGCTAAGGAGCTAACTCAACCAGGACCTGGGCTGTGCCTGTCAGAAAAGCACATTTTGACCAGTCACAGGTGAGATGGCACCCTGTTATAAATATTAATGATAATTACATTAATGAGAGCGTAAGTGGGAAGTATCTTATTAAGAGCAATTACATACACTGGCGCTAAGAGTCACAGTGACAGTGGTGATTAGGAGAAACGTTACAGTATGTCTGAACGTCAAGGACCCTATCATCACAAACCAGAAAGAAGGCAGGCTCCCGATTACCGGTATATGTGCAGCAGGTGTGTGTGTGTGTGTGTGTGTGTGTGTGCGCGTACCAGAGACTAAGGGGCGGGCGGAGTCCTGGTGTGGGCTGCGGGTTAATGTGCTGTACTGCAAAATGGGTTTGAACTGCAAGGTAGGCAGTTCAAGCTCACCAGCCGCTCCTTGGAAACCCTATAGAACAGGCTTGCTGAGTTGGAGCAGACTTGAGGGCACTTAACAACAACAACATGGGGAGGGCAAGGACCAGGGTGGAGGCCCAGAGCCCAGAGAGAAGGCTGCCAATCCAGGACAGGCCTCGTAACTATAGGGAAGGGGGTCTTTTTGTTGAAAACATTTACAGGCCAATGTTTTAGTTGCTACTGCCTGATTAGCAGTTCAAGCCCACCAGCTGCTCTGCAGGAGAATGATGAGGTGGCGTTCTTCTGTAAAGATTTACAGTCTTAGAAACGCGATGAAGCAATTTGACTCTGTCCTATATGGTGTTGTGGTGTGGCGTGTAGGATAAGTACTGGACTGTTTACCACAAGGTCGGCAGCCCAAACCTACCAGTAGCTCCTTGGAAACGCTAACGAGGTTCACTGAGTCGGAACCTACTTGAGAACACTTAACAATAACAACAATATGAGGTTACTATGAGTCAGAATCAATGGGAAGGCAGCGGACTCAGTATTTACATTAAACAATCCAACCAAAAGGCAGATTAGCATAATGGGTAAAATACCCTGGAAGTTTCTCTAAATAATAAACAGTCACCATATGACCCAGCAGTTTCCACTCCGAGGTATGCATACGAGGAGTCTCAAACGTTTATGGAACAAGAGAGAAGAGCACGAGCGGAATGTGGGACCCTGTCCAGAGAAGCAGCAATACCAGAGATGGAGGCAGAGATGAGGACATGGAGAGAGGGAGTTAACTGAGGACACTAGACTCATGGAAAGAGAAAGGCTGTGTGCTGGCGGCCAGGAGGCAGGCTTGCAGAATGTGCCCTTTGGGTGCTTAAATGATTATATATTTTGTGTACATCCCCCACCCACCCCCCGCAAAAAAAAAAAAGAAAACAAAACAAAAACACAGAGGGAACAGAAGCAAATCCTGTTGAATGATGATGCACGGAGGGGATTGTAATCAGTGCAATGACACGACGGTGTAAAACTGATGTTCTCCCCTGTAAACTATCACCCAGTTCACAATAAAAGCTTGAAAAAAAAGTTCTTGGAAAAATGGAATTAAAAGATAATGACATCCTTCCATGAACTTTGTGAGATCCCCCCCTTATATAAGAGACATAACAACATTCACAAAAAAACCTATTCATGAGTGTTCACAATCGCCAAAAAGTGGAAATAACCCAGATGTCTACCAACTGATGAAGCGAAAAACCAAACTGTGTTACATGCACACAATGGAGTACCACGCAGGCATACAAAGGAATGAAGTGCCAATCCATACAACACGGACCATGTTATGCTAACCTACGTCTAGAAGATGTAAGACTAGACAAATGTACAGAGATAAGCAGTAGCTTCGTGCTTGCCATGGGCTTGGGCCAGACAGGACTAGGGAGTGACTGCTAATGTTTCTGGAATGAGACAGTGGTGATGGTTGTACTATACGAGCTCTGCAGTGAAAAGCATTGAAGTGTGAATTCGAGAACATTCAATAAAGCTGTTTTGGAGGCCCAGGGTGGCGCTGTGGACTAATGCGCTGAACTGCAAATTCAAGGTTGGTGGTTGACGCTCACCAGCTGCTCCTTGGAAACCCTATACAGGGTTACTATGGGTCGGAACCAACTTGACAGCTCTTAACAAAACGAAGTTGTTACCAAGAAAAAAGATCAAGGTGGAAAGACTGGCTCTACCTTCTTTCTTCGAGTTTATTTTGATATTTCTTTTCCACCACCTAAAATCTGACAGGAAAAAAAAAGGAAAAATAGAATAGAGTAGCCAAGAACCCACATGTATGGACTATAGAAGTGGCGGTGGTTGTTGTTAAGTGCCGTCGAGTCGATTGCAACCCATAGTCACCCTGTATAGGGTTTCCAAGGAGCAACTGGTGAGCTTGAACCACTGACCTTGCAGTTCAAACGACTTTACAGTCTGGCACATTAGCCCACAGCACCACCCCCAGGAAGGACTCCATAGAAATGGTGGTTCTGTAGGTTAATAGGGAAAAGATCTATTTCTAAGAAATGGTGCTGAGACAATGGTGTTTCCACATTTTATATAAAATAAAAAAGCAACTGGAATCCCTGTCCACAACACGCACGCAAATAAAATACAGGCAGATGCATGACCTAAATGTCAAAGGTCATGTTAAGGGTCACCTCAAAGTCACACAGTGAAAGATGAGCGTAGCTCAGGTGGCTGTGTACAAGAGATGGACCAAGTCACTGCAAACTCAGCCGTGACCCAATCATCCCGAAGAACTTGCACACCCTAGAGGGACAGAAATTCACATTCTCCTGGACTTCAGACTGCCCAGAGCCACGGAGGCTGGGTGAACCCCTCAAACTAAAGCCCTGAGATCATCTTTAAACCTGAAACCAAAAACATCCCCTGAACTCTTTTTCAAATCATAAAATAGTTTCGTTTAACTAGCAAAAACTGTCAGTCTTGAGCATTCTGTTCTTTTAAGAACTACCTTTGTTATTGTTAAGTGCCTGCCATGGAGTTGGTTCTGACCTACAGCGACCCCACATAGGGCTCCTGAGGAGCAGCTGGTGGGTTTGAACCACTGACTTTGCAGCCCAGCGCACTATCCCGCAGCACCAAATTGACAACAGCAACTGGAAAGATTAAGCAGGAAGCTGGGAGAGGGAGGCAGTGAGGGGGAAACCACTCAGAAAAGGGGGCTGAAAAGGACTGCCCAAGTCAGCGTCATCAGTGTCACTACAGGGATCGTGAAGAAACTGGTGAATTGGCGGATGTTTTGCTGTGGATATTCTCGAGGACAATCACAAAATCATGAAAATTTAGGAAAACTGACCAAAAAAAAAAAGGAAGAAACTTAAAACTTGTACACATGCATGCAAGGATTCATGTTCAAGAATGTTCATAGTTGCCTCAAACTGGAACCCATATGTCCTGCAACAGCAGAATGGAGAAACAAAACAGGATACAGCCATACAATGGAATACTTTACGGATGGGACTGGCAAACTATGGCCCACTACCTGTTTCGGTAAATAAAGTTTTATTGAAACACTAAGTGATTGGGACAGGGAACATGTGGCCCACAAATTTTACAAGTTACTATCCGGCCCTTTCCAGAAAAAAACCTGCCAACTCTTGCCACGTGACATTGAAAAGGAACACATTACCAAACCGCACAACATAAATGCATCTCATCAAAATAGTACCGAGCAAAAGGTGGCAAGATACAGGAGATTATATATTCATCTTTCCACGCAAATAAAAAACAACAGCAGTCGAAACTGAAGTCTCTTACCCAGGGAGGTGAAATGAAAAAGCAAAGAAAATACCAATCACCCACATGAGGAGGAAGACAGCAGTTACAGGAAGCAGGACACATTGCGGAGGGAGGGAGGGAGGGGCTCTGGGGTGCGCCTACCTGTTTGAGCTCTTGACCTCTGTGGTCAGGGTCATGCAGAGTGACTTTCAAATCACTTGCCTGTCCATACAGGGGGCTCCACGTAGTATAGTTTGTGACGGAGGGGAAGCATCCAACAGATGTTTTATTATTACTATCCACTTAACAACAACAGAAATCCCTAGGAATTTAGACTCTCCACTAAAGGCTATTTTCCTTACTTACAAAATAATTTTCTACCAAAAAACTTTACTGAATGTAGATTTCTATTAAAAAAAAAAAAAAAAAGTAATTTAGAAAAAAATTTCAGTGAAGGTCTCATTTTGTTTCAGTGAGAAAACCCTGTGGAGGAGGCCACAGTGAACTGGAGTGTGTATTGTTGACGGTACCACTCCTTCGGGAAAGCTGCCCTGAGAACAGAAGCTAAAATGAGGAAAAACATTATGTACACATGTTCACAGCATCCTTCTTAACAGACTGAGAACCACCGGGGGCGGGGAGGGGAAGACAAGCCTAGCTGGTGCATGTGTCGTGGAAGAGTTGAAAACTACAAAAAAGGCTGAAGAATCCCTGAAATAAGCCCCCACAGGCACCCCGTGATTGTTTAAGCTTTGTGCTTTTTGGTTCTCAGTTAAGACATGTGTGATGCTGTGCAGGTCAGTACTGGACCATGGCCCAAACCCTTGGACACCGGGTGCAATCTACAGGATCAGGCTGAGTCTTGGCAATCTGTTTGAGATATTAAAGAGTCTCAACAAGCAAGCAGGGCTCAGAGGGGATCTGCTATCACCAAGACAGACGAGCTGGGAATGGTGTGTGTCATTTGACTTGGGGTCCCTGCGCCGTGAAGATCCCAGATCCAGAGGAAGAGCGAGGCCAAGACACATGGGAGTCTCCAAGGAATGCTGGCCCTTTACCATACCACTAGGCTTAAAAGGAGCCACCCCAGAGGTAGGAAAAAGGAATACCTTACTAGCGGAGCATGTCCACTGGACCTAGGGTCCCTGTGCTGAGAACCATGGGGACACACGGTCTAAGATGATGAGAAGCAGCGGCCGAGTAACAGCCAAGGCAGCCAAACCAGGAGAGTAGTACAAGCCAATCGGTTACATTCTCAGCCCCTGGAGCTATGCAGCTACAGTGGGTGGCAAGACCCACAGTGAGAGCTAAGAGTCTTCCTGGCACAGTGAGATGCCCTAGGGTACTTGGCAGTGGAACTAGGCTGGCCAACCCACAGAGCAAGAGAGCTGAGGCACCCTTATTACCACTTGCTTGAGCAGGGCAGGGGCCATGGGGCTGAGAGGCTGAAGGCCAGAGAGCCTCAGTCATTTCCGAATTCTTCCTTATTCCCTACTAAACTCCAGCATCAGGAGGATGGTGTGAACCTGGCAGAGGAGGGAAGGCAGGTGCCAGAATTGGTCGAAAGGTTGGAGGATGGAGATGGGTCGGGCTGATGCTGATTCTCTCTCCCCCTCATGAAGTCAGAAGAGGACCTATGCCCCCTGCTCCCATGTCACTATTTTTATAGTACCCAAGAGGCTTGAGAGCAGAAAGTCACACAGGTACGTGTACACCGATGCTCACGGTGACACTAGTCACAACAGCCACCAGGTAGATACATCAGATGAAGACCAAACACAATGTGGTCAATTCAGAAAACGGAATAGGACTCGGCCATACAGAGAAACGTCACATGCCACCACACAGATGCACCTTAAAAGCTTGATGCTGATTGAACCCACTCCTCTGAATGATCCAATTGGAAAATGGCTACCAGAGGCTGGAGAAAGGTGATCAGGGCATATCTGCCTGGGAGGTGTTTCCACAAGACTGTGATTATAATTTAAGCCACTAAATTGCATACTTCAAGAGAACGGAAATGGCAAATTTTATGGGCGATGTAGTTTACCATGACAAAGAAAGTTAAGGTACTGGTCCCCCAGTGCTACAAGTTCCACCCTAGCACGGAACAAGGTCCCCATTCGCAATTCAGTGCCTCGGCTGAGGGGGTGGTCCCAGAAGCAGGAAGGGGCGACTCCATACCTAGACTCCTCATGGGGCTGTTGCTGCCCCAACAGATCTGCTGCTCTTGCTGCCTGGCCACCAGGTCTGTGGTGTTTATGGAAGTGTTGGTGACCTCCACAACAGCTTTGAGCAGCTAGAAAGAAGGGGGGGGGGGGCGACAGGGCATGGGCATTAATGCACATGGCTTGACCTACAGAGGGAGGTCTACAATTTCCCACCAAGCTCCCCTTCCAGCCTGCTCAAGTCAATGGTCAGGTGCAGAAGCCTGGCTAGCTGGAGAGAGTTCCTCAGGGTCTCGCACCAAAGTCCCATTCCTCCTGGCCCAGCAGGGACACCACACCATCAGGTGCCCATCCTGCACTGGCAGGCCTTAGCGCAGTGCCAGCAACCTTCCAGCAGTGGCGCCCCATCTGAGTCCAACAGACAGCGGGGAGAAAAACTACATGGCTCCTCTGACGGGGAGAGAATTGCAGGAGTCCTGCTGTGGCGTTATAGGATAAGCACTGGACCGCAAGGTCAGTTAGAACTGCAAGGTCAACAGTTCAAACTCACCAGCCACTCCTCGAAAACCCTATACAGGGTCACTATGAGTCGGAACTGACTCAGACAAACAACAACAACAGTAGCAGACAGGCCCAGAGAAGAAACATTCTGTTTGTTTGTCGCCTGGGTGTCTGAAAGGAGGAAAGACAAAGGAAGGAAATCTTCACAGAGTCGGCTCAGCCAGTCTTGTCTCATGTCACAGGCAGGTGAAAGTGACAGAAGGACCTTGACAGGCTAGAGCTCTTAGTATAGGACAATCCAGTCCACTGCTCTCCTCCCAGTGCCTAGTGGTGGTCCCCACACTCGGATCCCCCATAAGGGACTGAGCTCCGGCACGGTGGGTGGGCTGGGAGCGGAAGCGTCTTACGTGGCTGCAGGAAGACAGAGTCTGGTACACGGCCTGGATGATGGGGCCGCACGGGTGGCAGTCTGGGGTCTCGCGGTGACAGCAGTCACTCAGCTCGTCATCGTACACTTGCAGGAAGGCCAGGATGAGCTGGTGGAAGTCAGAGATGACCAGGCGCAGCTTCTGGTCCAAGGTGCTGGAGTCGGCCCCGGCCACAGTGGCCGCGTCCTTGCGCTGAGGGATACACTGCAGAGAAGACCAGAAGCAGAAACTCCATGGCCACTCTGGCTCACTCCCCCCAGCCCCTTCCTCCCACGCAGTACTGCTGTGAGCTGGCTTCCTTCTCAGTACAATGAGGTCAGTTCAGGGGCTGCTGGGAAAAAGCGGGGGGCGGGAGGAGGGGCTCAGAGCCTGTCATGGATAGCCCAGTCTGGTCGCTTATCTCTGCCCCTCAGGGATGAATGCTGCAAAGTGACAGCACCCATGTCTCTGGAGAACCCTGCTGGGCACTGCGCGGGTACCACATCACTGAAGCCTCACACCACCCTTATGCAGGGATGGACACTACTCTGAGGCCCCCAGATTCCCAGCAGGCCCTGGGACTGCACAGCAGATGTCAAGCTCTGGAGGGCCACAGGCTGCCCTCACCTCTGCCCTGAGCAACTGGAGCCTGGCAGTGCCCTCCTGCAACTGCTTGTCCAATTCCGCTACCTTCCTCTCTTCTGACTCCAAAGGGACAGTTGTCCTGTGGGAAAGGAGAAGCCCCCGTCAGCTCACTGCTACTCTGGACACCAGAGCCTCCCCACCCTGGGGCCGGGTCAGTACTTTTTCTGGTCGAGGAGGGGCTGTACATCCAGAGGCCACGGATTACACTCGGGGTTCAGGAGTGCCTGCAGGTGTGGACTGGAGAAGAAGTTTCGCAGTAGAGCCTCATTCTTCTCCTTGGTGTCCTTGAAGGACTGGTCCACACTGCAAGGCACCAAAAATGCCGTCACAGGCCAGACCCGGCTAGGATGCTGCCCAGCCTTCCACTTGCCCATGAACCCGTGAGGACTGGTTTCTTGCCGGCTGGGTCCCCAGTACCTAGAATAGTGGGAGTAGCCAACGTTGAGGCTCCGAATGACATCCAGCATTTGGTCCATGAAGCGCAGCTGCTTCTGAGCGCAAGCACAGCCCTGCAGAGGGACACCGTGCTCACTGGCCGCCCTGAGCTGACAGGGTCCAGGATGGCCCATGTCGCCTCAGGGCCCAAGAACACTCTGGAAAGGTCCAGAATGGATCTCTGGAGCCCAAACCTCACCACATCTCACCCCAATCGCTGTGGTCGGTTCATGGAAGCCGGTGCTTTCTGGCTGGAGGACCAGAAAAGTCCGAGGAGATAGCAGAGAGGGAATTGCGTGGCCCAGAGACCACTGGATAAGATCCTGATTAGCACAGACCAACACCCAGGTCCCAACCTGACCACTGGGTGGCGCACATGCAGGCCGGATCAGATTAGGAAGTGCTGTGGGCATAAAGCTCTAAGATGGTAACAGAGGGTCTGTACTGTCAACCTGCCCATGAGTGCAAATCTGAAGGACCAGGCCGATGGTACCCGTGGCCATTTCCTGGTTGGGTGTAGGGCACAGAGAGGACACACTCGGAGAAGAGTGTCTCCTACCACCCTGGGCACTTTTGTGGGTTTTGCAATTTCCCTTGAATCTGTGAGAGAGAATCTCAAAGATGTTACAGTTCTTCAAGACAGGGAGCAGGCGTTCTTTGCTAGTGGGAGGAGGCGAATGGGGAGAAGAAAGTGCATGACCTCCCCTGTGAACTGTGGACAAACACCTACTGCCACAGATAACGATCACCGGCAGGTGACATCCTCACCACTATGGGGCACACGCAAGGTGTGCAAGCAGGAACGTGTTCTGCCTCTTTGGGTGTTCCTTCTAAGCCAGTGGCCAGGGTCCACAAGCCCCTGTGAGCTCCGTGCGTCCCACTGTCCTTGTTGCAAGGAACAGACAAGGGTCATCTCTCACCTTCACGAGGTCCTGATCATCTGGCCCACACAGCATCAGCTCATGGCCGAGTTTCACCATCTCTGTCGGAGCAGAAAAAAACAGGCTTTTGCAGGGGCCAGAGTACTTCATGGCGAGTGGGCGCCCATCAGAGTGGACAAGGTGGGCAGGGGGAAGTCAGCCAATGGCAGACTGGCTCTCGCGCACGCCTACCTCCCTAACTGAGGGGCCGACAGCAGTGAGGGCAGTGAACACATGTGCTGGTGGGTCCTATGCAGAGCCGAAGCCAAGGAAACTGCTCCTACTTTTAGTCTTGTCTGTTAACCTTGCTGCAACCTAGATACTCACCCTACTCAGATGGGAGGGAGGCTGCTCTGGATGCAGTATGTCCCCCAAAAGATATGTGAGTCCTGATCCCTGTACCTCTGCAGGTATGGAGAGAGGGGTTTTGCAGATGCTATCAGCTCACATTAAGTCACACTAGAATGGGGTGGGCCCTAAGCCACTGTGAGCAGTCGCCTTCTAAAAGACGGGAAGAGACACAGAGATGAGTCATGGCCATGGGTAGATGCGTCGACACACCAAGCACCATCTGCGACCACCGGAAGTCAGAGAGGCTCCCCTAGGACCTTCAGAAAGAGCCAAACCCTGGGCTCTCATCAGTCACCCTGTTTGTAGCACCTATTAGGACACAGTACAAGGGGGACGCTGATCACATCCGTGGGGGGTGCGCCACCTGCAAGACCTCCAGACCAAGGAGGGCGGAAGCAGAGCACACATCACAGCTTCCAGCTCCTGAGCGCAGACCTACCTTGAATCTTCCCCTCGACCTGGGTGCCCTTCAGAGAGCTCAGCTTGTCCTGTACGGATGGACAGACTCTGTGGGAGGACAGAACAAGTTAGGCTGGACAAGGCCACCCAGCCCTGGTCTGTCCCACCACCCTGTCTTCATACATATTCCAGAAAGCGAATTACCCAGAGTACCTGGGACCCAGCTCCACACACATTTCTCCTTCAGATCATGGCGAGACCCTCTCCCATGCCAATGCATCCCTTCACTTGCTTCCTGCAGACCCCGCAATGCACTGACCCCATCCTCTCAATCTCGTGGTGCCATCGTGTGGACTCATGGACGGCAGGGGCTGCCGTTCTGTTCTGGATGGCTAGGCCTAACGTGGCAGCCATCCTGGGCTCAGAGTTGATGAGCACAACTCATCCGGGATCATGTGACCATCACTCAGTGTGGGAGCGTAGCTCATTTAGAAGGCCTTTTCATTTGTTTTTTGTTGTTTTTTTTTTAAAAAAAAGCCTGATCCCACAATTCCACAAGGCTGTGCTGATCCAGGGCTCAGTTTGAACTTGGCCCTTGAGCGACTTCGAGTTTGTCAACAGTTTTCTGAGGCCCCAGCCCTGCCCATTCGCCACGTGTTGTGTATGGCTACTTGTCGTTGTAACAGTAGAGCCTGTCTGGTCGGCAAATGAGAAATACAGGGGGGCTTCAAAGAGTCTGAGGAAAATGGAATTTAGAGGTAATGGGATCTTTGCATGAACTTTTTGAAGTCCCATTTTACGTATGTACTAGCCGAGCCCTGTTTTCCTCCATCGGGGGACTCCAGTCAAGGCGAATAAGCACACAGTAATTCTGTAGCTGGTCTGTGGAGCTCCCTCAGGCCTTCCCAGGGTCAGTGTTCCCAAAAGACCCAGGCCAGAAGGTCTCATCACACTGGCGTCCTGGGATTTAGTGTGTCCCCCTGGCGTCTGAGGGAAGGACTCCGACAGTGATACCCACCGCCGGTCTTGACAAAGTAAGACATCCACCAGGCAGGAAGCAGAGAAAGCAGCCTGGGGCCTGGCTGAGGTGGGCTGCCCAACAACATTCCCGCTTACCCCAGTGAAAACCAGACCCACTGGCTACTGCAGGAAAAGGCTGTACTGAACTGCTCTTTGAGGGTTAATGTGCCGGAATGTAAGGTCGGGTTGATGCACAAGGTCTGCAGTTGAAGCTCACCAGCCACTCGTCGTAAACCCTGTAAAGGGTCGCTATGAGTCGGAATGAAGATAATGTGCTGGACCGCAAGGTCAATTGGAGCCACAGAGTCGGTGGTTCAAACGCACCAGCCGCTCTTCGGAAACCCTATGATTTGAAACTGACTCGATAGCACTTTACAATAACTACATCGAACTGCTTTTACTGACTCAGCAGGGACCAAGGGAGCAAGGAAGGGTACAGTTGTTGTTGTTGTTAAGCGCCGTCGAGTCGGTTCCAACCCATAGCGACCCTGTACAGGGTTTCTATGGAGCTCTGGTGGCGTAGTGGTTACGAATCGGGCTGTGAACCTCAAGGTTGGCAGTTCGAAACTACCAGCGGTTCCGCGGGAGAAAGATGAGGCGGACTGCTCCCATAAATATTTACAGCCTCGAAAACCCTGTGTAGGAACGCTATGCGTCCGAACCAACTCTACGGCACATAACAACAACAACAACAACAACAGGGTTTCTGAGGCTGTAAATCTTTACAGGAGCAGAAAGCCTCATCTTTCTCCCGCGGAGCAGCTGGTAGTTTTGAACTGCTGACCTAGAGGTCTTAAAAAGAAAGCAGGCGCTCAGGGGGCCAAGAAAGCCCAAGAGGCAGTCCCCCGGGGTCCTGCAGCTCTGACTCCACGAGGCAGGAGGAAATAGGTCAGGCTGAGGGACAGGCCTCCTGGTGTTGTTCAACCACCCAGAGGCCTAGGTCTGCTCACAAAGACAGTGAGCATGAAAGATGTTCCACAGACTTTTGGGGGCAGCTGGCAGGTTTGGTTTTCAGCACACTCAGGCAGAGTAGCTTGAAGGGCTTGCAGACAGGGTCGAGGCTGGCAAGAGCTGGTGTTGCTCCTGTGAGCAGAGATTCAGGCAGGGGACCCTGGGCCTGCCCCTGTGGAGCACAACTTCACTGTAAAACCCAACACAGCCAGCTTCTCTCCAGTCTTGGTTCCCTGCAACTAAGCAGGGCTGTTCCAGAGCCAAGCCATGTCTGCCCCACTTGTAGCTAGTGCTTCTGCCCTAACCAGCTGCTCACAGTGGCCACTGGGGCTGGCCCTGGAGGCCTCTGACACAATAGGTGGTTCTTGGGTGCCATTAAATCGATTCCTAATGGGATCGTGCTACCTTTACAGGAGCAGACGGGTCTTTCTCCGGGGGAGCCGCAGGTGGGTTTGAACCGCTAAGCTTTCAGTTAAGCAGCCAAGTGCTTGTTGTTAAGGGCCATCAAGTCGGTTCTGCTCATAGGGACCTCGTATAGATAGGGTTTCCATGGAGCAGCTAGTGGCTTTGAACTGCCGACCTGACAGTTAGCAGCCCAGTGGCCAGTCCAGTGCTTTGTTGTGATTATTGGTGTTGTGAAGTGCTGATGAATGCAGCTGATTCCGACTCATAGCAACCCTATATAGGATTTGTGAGGAGAGGCTGGTGAGTTTGAAAGGGTTGCAATTCAAACCGACCTCCGCAGTCCCGGTGCTTATCCTATCCAGGATTCCTGTCGAGTGCTTAGCTACCTGTATAACTACGGTAGCCCTTTGCCTGCGGAGGAAGAAAGAAAGGCCTTACCGGCCACACATCCACTCCAAGATCTCCAGACGGTATTTGGAGGGGCTGCTCAGCAGTTCCAGGATTGTTTGGGGCTCGGAGACATACAGACCCTTGAGGAAGGGGCACTCTAGCTCCTAGTGAGGAAGGCAATTCAATATTCACATTCACTGTCAGCCCCAGGCCACCCTGCTCCTCTCTCCATCCACCTCTTTAAGTGTGCCAAGCCCATTCCTTGCAGCTCCAGGCTCACCTGGCTGCCGACCCAGGCGCACAGCTGCAGGACCCAAGATCAAGGGGCGGGGCACCAGGAAGGCGAGGGCTGGCTGGAGGAGTTAGGGTAGGGAGAGGGTTGAGAAGGGGGAGAGGGGAGGGGAGGTGGAAGCGGCCCTGGGGTTGGCAGCAGCCCAAGACTCCCGGAGACTGGGATGGGTGGGGGAAGTGGGGCAGCAGATAGAGGCTGGGGGCAGGGTTAGAGGAGGATGAAAAGGCAAAGGAAGAGAGAAATGTAGCGGAACTGCCTGGGGGGGTGATGAGATGGAAGCGGGGATGCGGGGGGCGGTGCGAGAGGAAGGAGGGTAGGGAGGTAGGAGGTGAGGTGGGCTGGGCGAGGGACGGAACAATCCACCCTGGACCTCGGGCAACTACCCCCGCCTCTGGGAGCTGATCTCCGCTAAGACCTGGGAACTGTGTGGTGGGGCTATCGCCACGGCAGCTCCACGCCGCGCAAGAAGTGCTTGGTCCTGAGGAAGGACCTCACACAGCAGCCATTTCAGATCAGCTGGGTGACCCTCCGTGTGTCCCTGACTCCAAGCCCCAGACGTCCTCTAGTACCCATGCCAGATCAAGGGACCGGCAACAGCAACCCAACTGGCTGGCCTGATGGGGCTGCCCGCTGAAAAGCTCCCGCCGCGGGGACACAGGGCTGCAACTGGGGCCACGTGGCTAGACTTCCGCACTCTCTCCTAACCCGGGTATCGACCACAGCCCGTGGCACCTTCAGCTTCCGGAACACCTCCACGGCCTCCTGGAGCGCGTCCTCCGAGCCCTCAGCGCCGCCGGTGCTTGGCTCGGCCATGGTTCCCGCTCTGAGTTACACCCGGGTTCACAAGCGTCCCAAAAGCCAATCACAATCACCCCAGCGGCCGGGCTCCGGGGCGGGAACTGCTGGGGGCGGGTTTGCGGCCGCTCCCGCCCTGGCTGAGCCTTCCCATTGGTCTTCAGGGCGGGGCGGGGCACAGCGCTCGCCCCCTCCCGCGCGCGCATCTTGGCTCCTCCCAGAAGACTGGCGGGAGGCAAGGGCAGAGCAGGTCGACTAGGCCTTCCTTCTCCAGCAGGGTGCGCCAGTGCTTTGGATTGGGTTCTTCCAGTTCGACTGAGCCTGGGATGTCTGCCTGTCTACCAGCGCTTGACTTCCACCACTGCACAACTCTCTTCCGCTGGGTACAAGGCTTCCATGTGGGTCTCCACGTCCACTCTGCTCCCCTATTGCTCAGCCCATACCTTTAGATTTCCGTTTTTGAAATGAGTCATTTCAGTACAGCTGAGTTACACATAATGACTGTTGTGTTGTGGCACATAACACTTAAGCACTCACTTGCTAACCAAAAGCTTGGTTGTTCAAACCCACACAGCAGTTTCATGGCAGAAAAGACCTGATGATCTGCTCCTACAGGTGGTAGTGGTTGTTAGATGTTGAGCCACCTCCGACTTAGTCACGTGCTGTGTTTGAGCCAATTGCTGCTGCCACTGTGTCAATCCATGTCATTAGAGGTTCCTCCCTCCGCCCCCAACCCTCCGCTTTTCCAAGGATGATGTCCTTCTCCAAGGACTGGTCCCTCCTGACACCATGTCCAAAGAACAAGAGACAAAGTCTCGACACACTCACTTCCCATAAAGACTGTTGTTAAGTACCATGGAGTCTGAAAGTACCTTGCTTGCTGAAAGTGAAGAGGACTTGAAACATTTACTTATGAAGATCAAAGAGCACAGCCTTCGATATGGATTACATCTCAATGTCAAGAAAACAAAAATCCTCACCACTGGACCAATAAACAACATTCTTATCAACGGAGAAAAGATTGAAGTTGTCAAGGACTTTATTCTTCTTGGATCAACTATCAACACTCGTGGAAGCAGCAGTCAAGAGATCAGACGACATATTGCACTGGGCAAATCTGCTGCACAGGAACTTTTTAAAGTGTTGAAGAGCAGAGATGTCAGCTTGAGGACTAAGGTGCACCTGACCCAGGCCATTGTGTTTTCAATAGCTTCATATGGATGCGAAAGCTGGACAGTGAATAAGGAAGATCGTAGAAGAATTGATGCCTTTGAGTTGTGGTGTTGGAGGAGAATACTGAAAGTGCCATGGACTGCCAAAAGAACCAACAGATCTGTTTTGGAAGAAGTGCAGCCAGAGTGCTCTTTGGAGGCCAGGATGGCTAAGCTTTGTCTCTCCTACTTTGGACATATTGTCCGGAGGAAACAGTCGCTGGAGAAGGATGTCATGCTGGGTAAGGTGGAGGGTCAGAGAAAAAGAGGAAGACCCCTAACGAGATGGATTGGCCAGGTGGCATCATGCATGAACTCAAGTGTGGCAGCGGTAGTGAGGTTGGCCCAGGATCGGACATTGTTTCATTCTGCTGTGCATGGGGTCGCTATGAGTCGGTTCAGACTCGATGGCACCTGACAACAACAACAACAACAACCATGGAGTCGGTTCTGACTCATAGCGACCCTGCACAGGGTTTCTGAGGCTGCAAATCTTTACGGGAGCAGAAAGCGTCATCTTTCTCCCACAGAACAGCTGGTAGTTTCGAACTGCCAACCATGAGGTTAGCAGCCCGATTTGTAACCACTACGCTCCCAGAGCGCCATAAAGATTGTTGTTGCTAAGTACCATGGAGTCTGTTCAGATGGCCCTGCACAGGATTTCCGAGGCTGTAAATCTTTACGGGAGCAGAAAGCCTCATCTTTCTCCTGCGGAACCGCTGGTAGTTTCGAACTGCTGACCTTGAGGTTGGCAGCCCAACTCGTAACCACTACGCTACTAGAGCTCCTATAAAGATCAGAAGGGACCTAACAACAGAGTTAGACAAATTTATTGAGTTCCAGTATAGCTGTGTGAGTTTGGACCTCTCACCTAACTTCTCTGTGTTGTTGTCAAGTGCCGTGGAGCCGGTTCCTGAGGGTTTCTGAGGAGCGGTAGGTGAGGTTGAACCACCGACCTTGTAGCTAGCAGTCCAGTGCTTACCCTACAGTACCACACCAGGACTCAGTTCTCATCCACTAGGAATAATGAAAGCAGCTACCTCACCAAGTTGTCATGCCACATAGCCCAGGGCCTGCTGATGGACGAGAGGTGCAAAGAAGCAATCTGAGAATTGGCCAGCCTGTGCCTTCTCCCTGAAGCTTACTGTTTCTTTGCACGCTGCCCATCAGAGCCAGCCCTCCACCCCCTGCCCTTAAGTGCCTCCTGGGGTCCCAAAGTTCCCAAACTCTAGACTCGCCCCTGATTCCGTCCTCTTCGCTGCTGATGGGAATCTTTGTAAAGAGAGATCTGGCTGTGTTGCCCCTCACCAATCCTAAAAACCTTATAGTGGCTCCTCAGGACTTTCAGGACCAGCTTCCTGGCTGGGCTCTGTGCTGACCAGGCTGGCCTTTGGTTCTGACGCCTGCCCCTCGGCCCCACCTCTCTGAATCCGTTTCCTGATCTCTACAGGGGGGTCCTCATTCAGATCCGCACACCAGCCTATGGTCTCGGATTTTTTATGTTGACTTCCTCCAGGGACTCTTAGCTAGCCCCCTTGATACCTGGCCTGGGCCTGTAGGCGACAAGAGCCACCTGGAGTCAGTCTGGAAGGAGCTGTCTCTGCCTCCACCCCTTCTGCTCCTGTGTCTCCAGGCCCAGGTCTCAGCGTTGTGTCTCTGCCCAGCCCTTCTTCTCTCTCTGGTCCCTTTTCCTAGGACCATCTCCATTCCTCCCTGCCAGGTCCTTTGCCCCTTCGCCCCCCCTCTGTCTCCCCAGCCATTGATTTCTGGCCACTGGCGGCACTCTGTGGGTACAAGATGCCCATATGGCTCAGTCCCGCCCACCTGCGCCCCCAGTCTCAGTCCATAACCTCTGGACCCTTTGTTTTGAAAGGACCACTAGAGTACATGATGTCTGGGAACTTCCTCCCCACAAAGGAACACACACACAGTCTCCCTATTTGTGTACACACCCATCCACATACTGTCACATGCCTGTGTAGACACATACGCACAGACTCCCTCTCCTTGTCTCACATGAGCCTCCACACTTGTGCTTACCGCACACCCACATGTCCACACACTCCATCTATCACAGAGCTGGCATGTTCCTCTGTTCCCAGGCCTTTCTCATCCTCATTTTTCTTCCACCCCACCTCCTCCCTCTCCCCTTGGTTGGAAACTGAAGCCCCTGGAGTTCATGGAGCCCTGGCCCCACTGCGTGGAGACACCCAGAGAGGCCAGGGCGCATATCCGTGAGACCAAGGGCCCACCAACCCAGGAGGACAGGGCTCTGTCCTCAGGGAAGGGAGTAGGCAAGAGTCCGGTTAACTGGAAGGGATCCCAGCCTGGCCTGATGCCCTGTAGAATGATCTGGAATGCCAAGCCATTCTGAGGACACAAAAGCTGAAGGGTCCCGAGGAGCAGGCCTAGCTGCTCCTCTAAAAATCTCTTCAGGCCCTTTGTCCTCCATTCCACGTGGTTGTTGTCACCAGTGCTTCCGGGACACTGAGGACAGCAAGAGACTTAGAACCAAAGCCAACTCACTGCCATGGAGTTGATTCCGACTCATAGTGACCTTGTAGACGTTTTCCGAGGTTGTCAATGTTATTGTTGTTAAGTGCCGTGGAGTCGGATCCGACCCATAGAGACCCTGAACAGGGTTTCTGAGGCTGTAAATCTTTTTTTTTCAAAGATTTTTATTGTGGATTGAGTGATAGGTTACAGGGCACATCATCAGTTTCACATTCAACCATTCATATGACTTGTTTCATTACATTGATTATAATCCCCTCCATACAACATCATCAGTTAACAGTGTTTCTCTCTATCCTCTTTAGCTTTTTGGGGGGTGGGGGTGGGGTGGGGAACTTTGCTTTTTTGGAATTTACGAGGCTGTAAATCTTTACGGGAGCAAAAAGCCTCATCTTTCTCCCGCGGAGCCGCTGGTAGTTTCAAACTGCTGACCTTTCCAAGGCAATATTATGGGAGCAGAAAACCTCATCTTTCTCTGGAGGAGCTGGTGGCTTTGAACTACCAACCTTGTGGTTAGTAGTCCGGTGCTTATTCTACAGCACCACAAGGGCTCCTGTAAGGGACTTGGGGTGTGGGATTTCTTTCTCCCCCTCCCTCTTTCTCTGCCTTTGTTTTTCTTTCTTTTTTTAAAAATTTCATTGCAATCACAGCCCTAGCTCAGACATTCAAATTCTTGTGGGTTTGTCTCGGGAATTTGGCGGGAGAAAGCATGGCAGTGTGGTAGCCTTCCCACCCGCCCCACATCCTCTGTTCTGGAGGATTGGGGCGAAACAGCCGCTGTGTATTCTGGATGAAAACCCCCTTCTCCACCCAGCCCAGTGCAGCCAGGCCACGAAGCAGGACCTGCCCGGGCTCAGCAGCTCGTGCCTTGGCATGGGGCGGGGCAAGAAGGACTGCACAGAGGGAGGACCTGGCGTCTAGCCCTCACTCATGTCTCTCCGCTCAGAGTACCTGAACATGGCGCCTCCCAAGCATCCTCCACTGTAGTCTGGAGGCTAGGGTGGAAACAGAGAGGCTGCTGGGAGATGCAAGGGGGAGGGGTGGTGCTGAAGAAGGGGCAGATCAGTAGAAGCTTCTAGAAAATCATGCTCAAGCTCAACACCAGGAAGCTCCTCTTCCCCCAGTGCACTGTCTGAACGCCAGCTGGCTGCCTTGAGAGGGAGGGAGCTTCCCGTCTTGGGAAGTGTGCAAGCCCAGGGAGATAGGGAGGGATGTAGAGAGTAGAATCCTTCAGTGGGGAGAATTGGGAGTGGTCTTTAACAAGTGTCCCAAGCCCAGAGACCCTGGTTCGGA